CAGCCGCCCCAAGGTGTCTCCCCACCAGCCTCAGCTCTCCAGGGACAGGGAGACAAAAATGGGACAGCTTCAGGACGTAGAGCTTCATAGACCGGTGCAACGAGTCAGCAGCGGGGAGTCGAAACCCCTCGTGGCAAGCAGCGTGGTTGTTTCCTGGAGAGCAAGGAGGCTTTAAACAGGAACAAACGATGCCATACAGAATCACCGAATGGCCAAACCCCACCTCTGTGGGTCGCAGAGCAGCGGAGCCACACGAGGAGGCACGGCATCCACCGCCACCAGCGGCGCAGACCCAGAGCCGTGGGCTGTTTCATCAGCTCTGGCCCGTGATGGGGTCATGCACTTCATCAACATTGCTGAGCTCCTCCCGCTCTAATTAAATCAGGCTTTGCTTATGCAGTTCCTCTTGTCTTCTCACGGCCTAATAATTAAGTTGGCTGCAATCAGAAAAATCAACAGAAAAGTTCCCAGCCTTTCCCAGACCGCCTTTGCCGTATTTTGTCCTTCAGAGCATCACTTCTACAACCTGTGAGTTAGCAGCTCTGCACGAGCACAGGGTGGGTATCGCGGCAGGAACCACAGCGAGACAAGGCTGGAAAGCGGAACTCACATCACACGTTTTCACGGAGGAGCGCTTCACCTCCTCCATCTCAGGAGGCTCAGACACCCTCGCAGAGCAGGAGGCAGGTGCCAGCCGGGGGACCCCGTGCCAAGGACTCGGTGGTCCCGGTCCAGGCTGAGCGGAGATGGCAAGCACAGGATCTCCCAGCCCAGGAGCCTCAGGGCGCTGGGCCGCCACCAAGCCTCGGTGTGCAGGGTTTTGCCACCAGGAGCGGAGTGGTACGTGGTATCGAAGTAGCACCTGCCCTACCCCACAGCACGGGCTTCGATGGCGACGCAGCGATGCCCAAGTCCCAGAGCCCCCATCTCCAGCAGCACACGCAGCCTTGGCCACCATCTCAAGAGAAATGCTCGTGCCACCCTTGGGGGGCACGGGCAGAGGGGTGCTTATCCGTAGGGAGGGTAGACACAAGAATAACCCCACCGGGGCTGCACAGTCCCTTCGTCACCAGGAGGGCGAGGGCAGGGCGAGCGGGGACCCTCGGCTCCAGCACCGCTTCACACCCACAGCAGGGGCGGCACGGAGCCCCATGGCAAGGCAAGCCGGGCAGGCTGTGACAAGGACCACGCTCCGGCTTGTCCACAAGGGTGTCCCCAGCGCCCGTTGGGTGTCACTGGCAGCCCCCGGGGAGGATGGCCGCAGCGGAGCAGACGGGGAGAGGGGAGGGAGCCGCTCGGCAGGCTCGCGCCTCCGACATGTGCTGCGCGCGGCTTCGCCAGACCGCAGGATCTGGCTCACTGCACGTGTGGAAGCAACACTTCTCTGTGTCTCACTTTACAAAGCCCCAAACAATAACTGTCTGTCACTGCACAGGAGCTTAGGAGAAACATAAGTTGCTATTGGCATGGTGCGCGGCAGCCTTCCTCTTACACAACACCAGCAGATGTGAAAATAGCCCGGTGCTGCCTTGTGAGCTCCTCTGACCTCCTGTTTGCTTCTGGATCAGATTCCAAAGCTGGATCTTAACCTACAAGAGCCATAAAAGCAAAAGATTTGGCCCTATCAGGGACCTCTTCATAATCTAAGACAGATGCACTTCATGTAGAGGAACACGGGGAGGTTTATCAGGGCAGGGAAGAGGCTGCGGCAGCACCAGCCGCTGCTCCACGGCACGGCTGTGGCAGCACACGCCGGCATCGCCCCCAACTCTCCCTGAGGATGCGCTGGAGGTGGCCCAGGGGCAGAAGAGCTGGAAGCTCTTGCAAACCAGAGCAGCACCCAAAACTTCACATCCTCCTGCTCAGCCAAACTCAAACTCAAAGGCTCAACCAAAGCTGCCTCCAGCCCTCACCTGCCCTGGCAAAAGGGGACCTCCGAGCTCCTGAGGTCTCATGTCCCCAATCCCGATGTCCTAAGGGCTGCCAGAGCCGGCACGGCATGGGAGATCCCCTCCATCCAGGCAAGGTGCTCCTAGGGTTTCTCGCCCACGTAAAGAGCGGGGACTGACTCCAAAGCCAAACCCCGAAACCACTCTGGGACATAAGGAGGGAAAAAGCACGTGGAGGACAAATTGCTCCCGGAAGCGTGAAAAGGCAGCGGGAGAATTAAACTGAAGGATGCTAAAGATGAATGATAGAGGGAGAGTTTAGTAACCAGCAGTGAAAGGGCATCTCTAAGAACAACCTGCATAAGTAAATTAATCTCTCCAGTGTCCCCAAGGATACCCAGTGTTCCTGCTGCCATCGGGGCTGCGGCAACCCCAAGCAGCAGAGGAACTTCCCACAATGCAAGAGAAGAAACCAAGATGGGGACATTGCTGCCACAGGGAAAGGAACTGGAGAATGAGTTGTCCTCCTCGCAGCCCTGCAAGGTACCAGGCTGCTCTCATGGCTGTGCCAGCACACAGCCATCGCCTGCGCCCGCCTCTGACCCACCACACACTATTCCCCGGTGTCCCCAGGTGGGAATATCACCCCATGGCAAAACCTTGGAGGAGTCAAACTCACCCAGGAGTCTAAACCCTACTCCTGGAAACTCCCATCCCTCCGACCTCCCCGCAGTCCGGGCTGGGGAACACCTCTCTGGTGCTGCCACAACCCACCCACGGGTGATGCGACACCCGGTGGGGTCACCTATGGGCTTAGGGTCTACGAGAAGGCTTTTAGCCAGCAACTGGGCTACCATACCACTGAACTGCAGGCAGCAGCGCATCCCAGTCTTTGTACACGAGGAACTAATATTAAAGATACAAAACACCCCAAAATACCTCCAGCCCGAAGGCACGCGGGAGGGATTTCTACCTTTGCATGCAGAGCCACCGGGTAACAGTCAGCAGCAGAGGAGCGTAATTCTGAGACTCACACACAGGGCGACCCGCTGATCGTGGCCCGCGCGGGAGGGCGAAAGGCGGCCTTAGAATATAATCCATTTCAGGCGCTCTTAAATCTCCCCAATACAACACAGAGCCCTTTAAGCAAAACTAAACAACTTCCTTTAGCCTAAATAAATATTAAACCTCAGCGATGCATTAATTTACTCCAGTTCACCAAAGGCTAACTCCTACCCAAACTGATCATTATAAAAGAAATCCTATAATCCCTTGCTCCCATTCAGGCTCAAAACATGTAATCCCGTGAATAAATCCAGAAAGAAAGTGTAACAAAATGGGCAATAAAAACTTACAGCGTTCACATCTTTTCATCTACCATTAATACTGTAAACACTCACTCGAAGGCCCTTGAGTATGACTAATCTAATGTTTTGGCTCCCAACGCTAATCGCCGAAAGAGCTCGCCTCTCGGTGTAACACCCAGCGAGATCCGCGGCCCAGGACACCTCCGCTGCGCCCATCCGCAGCAAATCCCCGCCTCAAATCCCACAAAAAGCTGCAAAAAGCAGCACGGAATGGAGCCAGTATGGTTCTAATAGCACCAGAGCGCAGAGCTTTTTTTTTTTTTCCCCCCCTCTTTTTTTTGCCTCCCCCCCCTTTTTTTTTTTTTATTATTTTATTGCTTTGGAAGCCTGCAAGCTCCAACTGTATAAATGCCAATAACTTCCCAAGTTTTAAGGCTGCTGAAGTAAGAGATCAGATTTTAGCAAGTGCTTTCCAGGCAGCCGGCCAAACTTTTTCTGATTCACTAAAAGCACCGAAGGGAGGGGGGAGAGAGGGAGGGGGCTGGAGGGCTGATTAACTTCAGTTACCGCACAAGCGCTAAAAGAAAAAAAAAAAAAAAAAATAATATGTCTCCCCACTGCAAAAAGGGTGCCGTCGCTGTGAGCCCTGCGCAGCCTGTTATTCCTCCTCGGGCTTGAAAAAACACCCAAAAATGCACCGGAGCAATACGGCAAACGCCTTCCAACCGCAGGGTAATTTACAGCTGTGGGTCCTCTCCCAATGAGGAGGTTGCTCCGCCGAGGGGAGGCTCTGCTGGCGTGAGGATCGAGATGCAGTTTTCAGAGGGGATAAGAAGAAAAAAAGAAAAAAAAAAAACACAATGGGGGAATTTTTGGAGGGGTGGAAGAGCAGGGGATGGGGCTGGTTGGGGTTTTAGCTTGGCCGGAGGGATGGGACCCCCCTTCAAGGCTGCCGCTGTGCTCATCCCGGGCCATCCCTCGCTGCCGGTGGGTGCCGGACAGAAGA